AAAAAAAAAAAAAAAAAAACAAAACAAAACAAATGTCGCCCCGTCGTTTTTCTCCTCTTCTTAGAAGCAGTGACCATTGGCCGAGATAGAAAAAATAAAAAGACCAAGCGCAGTATTCCGTCAGATCTCTTCATCGCAAGAAGCGGCAGCAGACAATGGCGGACGTGTGTCTTCTAACCACAACATTAGCCAACCCCTCCCCTCTCCCCAACAAAGAACTGTGTAGTCATTTGCTCTTAATCTTACTCATTGTTCTTAGTGGCTGCTGATAGAGTAGTAAGTCTATAGCCTTCAGTCTCTGGCAAGTCCGTATCGAGCTTTTCTGGTGCCAAAGAGGCACTCTAGTGTCAACAATAGCAAAGAAAAAAATCCCAGCACAAAAGATAGGCCGCAGAGGACATCGGCAAAAAGTTGTGCCCCAACTCGGAGTTGAACCGAGGACCTTCCCATTACGAGTGGGACGCTATAACCACTAAGCCATTAGGGCGAAGACCAATCACAGTCGTAAGCAACTTGGTTGGTGCTCGGTGAGCACTTCCATTAAATATATATCAAAAATTATTACGTCAAGCTTATTTCCTAGAATCGTTACTTCCATGCATAAATGCACGCTGAGCAATCGATCCTCGCTCCCGTTGAGCGGCTTTTTACAGACTCGCGCACATTTCAAGTCTTTTCGCTTCATTCTTCTAAACTTCCTTACACCCATCATGCTTCGTCTGATTAACCCGCTCAAGGCCACAGTTCGTGCCATTCCTGTATGTGGTTTTTTTATGAATGTCTGATGACCCATCGAACACTGAAGTCGCGTGGATTAAGGATATTCTTATGTGGACAAGAAACACAAAATGAAAAGCACGCCGCGTTGTTGATACATGATTATCAGATCTGCAGCGGTCTGATCAATAGCACTAAACGCGCACCGCATTCATGCTATAGAGGCAATCTTACTCGACCTCTGCCAAGCCCTCTGGTGGAAGCAGTAAGCTGTTAACTGTCGGTCTTCCACTCGCTGTTGGTGCTGCTGGTAAGATGATAGCAAGGTCTTTATCACTTCTTCCTTCTCTTGTCGATTGGCTTGCAGGTGGTGTCGCGAGAGTGCCACTGTGCACGCGACTCAGACTTTCACCTTGTCTATGCTTGAACAGATGTTATCTATCCAAAGAAGCCGCTGGGGCTTTATAACTTCAGATATGAGCCCCTGTGTGCAAGTCTTTATTGAACTCGTTTGCCGTTTTTTATCCTCGACGGTATAGGCGCTTACGCCTATTTTGGTGACAAGCTGGGAGGTACCAATACCGCTACCCCCAAGGCTGCTGAGGCCGCCGCTGCCGCTCCCAAGGATGAACCTGTTTCGTCTGCTTTGAACCCCAACGCCTTTGTGGACTTTAAGCTGAAGAACGTCCAAAAGTTGACCCATAACACTAGTCTCTTCTCTTTCGAGTTGGAGGAGGGGCAGAAGTTGGGACTGGATATCACTTCGTGCGTTCTGGCCAAATTTGCCAAGGAAGATGGCAAGCCTGTCATTCGCCCTTACACCCCCACGTCTGATGCAGATCAGACCGGTTCCTTTGAGTTTACCATCAAGCACTACGAAGGTAATCTCGCCAACGGAATGACACGGAGCGAGAGCTATAGACGCTTGTGGAACTGTGTCTTCAAGATTGGCGCTTGACGCAATCGTTTTTCTCTCACGGGAAATCATGATCCCCGCATGCAATCTTCTAACAAATTAATGCTACTCTGCGTATTGTGAATGAGTACAGGAGGCCCAATGTCGACCCACATCCACAACATGAAGCCTGGCGACACACTCGCCGTCAAAGGTATGTACCATCAGGCAGCGAAGTTGGAAAAGAGATCACTTTTGTTTACGCCCTCGATATTCAGTGTAGCTCACTTAGTATGTCTTTCCTTACATACCGCTAGGCCCTATCAGCAAGTACCCTCTCAAGGCCAACCAGCATGAGTCTGTTAGCTTGATTGCCGGAGGAACTGGTATCACCCCCATGATGCAGGTCATTAGTGGACTTCTCAGGGATAAGGAGGACAAGACGAAGATCAACCTCATTTTTGCTAACGTCTCGCCTGACGATATTATTCTCAAGGACGAGATTGATGCCTTTGCCAAGGCTCATCCTGACCGCTTCAAGGTCACCTATGTTGTTGACAAGGCCTCCGATGCATGGAAGGGCCCTACTGGATATGTTACTACTGAGCTGATCAAGAAGTACAATCCCGAGATTGGCCAGGGCAACACCAAGGTTTTTGTCTGCGGACCTCCTCGTAAGTTTTTTTAGTCGTTAATTAATAAGCGTGTCTGCCCGCTTTACTTTTGTTATGCTGCTGATGGTAACCCGCTCTGTTTTCTACCTTCTTCGAAATATCAACAAATCGTGCTATAGCCATGATGAAGTTGGTCAGCGGTCCAAAGGGCCCCAACTTTACGCAGGGCGAGGTCGACGGTGCTCTCAAGGAGCTTGGTCTGACCAACGACCAGGTCTTCAAGTTTTAAACGATGCCATGATAAAAAAATTACTCCAGTTTTTGATTATCCCTTACACCGTAAAACGAGCAAATTTGTTCATAAATGTTCAAAGTTCATGGGCAAAAGCGGACGAAGTAGCAGCAAGACCTTTCTTTTGCAGATTGAAAAACAAAAAAGAGACTAGAGAGATGGAAGACCATTAGAGATGCCATCATTGCACACCAGTTTCAGCTGCGATATCATCAGCACCGAGAAGTATATGATGGGGAAGTATAGCAGGTGAAAGATGTGCGAGCGAAAGGGTGAGACCTGCCAATGTTGGTTTTTTTTTGTCTCTCTCTCTCTTATCGCAGCGTGAACGTATCTATCTCTGCTTGTCAACTAACGACAGTGTAATGATGGTTTACACTCTCTGTTTCTTGTCAACTATGAGGATGCACCCACGGTAACAGACCGACTTGCTCTCTGTCCTAAGCTTGCCCTCCAACATCTACCCTTGACTAGTGACTTGTCCAAAAACGACTACTTTGTAGGCACTTCGCGGTATGGTACTCGGAGGATCAGTAAAATTGTCAAGGATATTAATCTGGACGAAATGCTGCTAGAGGACGGGCTAAAGGAATATCTGGGAGGATACCTAAGTGCATGGCTACTGGGCAGGACCTAAAGCACGCTCTAGACACGTTGGCACGGTGTCGAGAGGATAGCCATCCAGATGCACAGACTACTACCGACAGTTACGCTTCCTTCATCCATTTTGTAACCGGCACAGGCCTTTTTTTGGCCATAGCAACGATTCTGGAGAGAGAACTACTTAGCATGTCGACCACATGCCCCTGCTCTGTCCTTCTACTTGGCACATTAGTTTCAAGTCCCCAAATAACGACCTAAGCCCATGGTACTCAGCCAAAAAGATCGCGGATGTCTCGAAGGCATTACTAGTCAACGGGGAGTCACTTGCCAGTCTTAAGGTCCACACACCCCGGCCTTCCAAAAGCATTTCCTGTGTGCCCAAGGAAAAAAGCAAAAGGAAGAAGGCAAAAGGCAGGAGGATGCAGAGAGTCAGTGCTAGGAAGAAGGACGCACCTGCTTGCTTAGGAATCTTTTCGTCAAAATATTCAAGGCCATAACCATGCAGATTAGATCCATCGCATCGAGCATCAAGCGGGCGACGGCGGATGACTCAAGCGATGCTCGAACACTCGAGAATGCTTTTAATAGCGCGTCCATATTATGAGTAAGACGAGGCGGTCCACATTCAAGGCACTGGAGTACTTTGTCCTATAGGAGCTTCACAGCTTAGTTCAGGATGTAGAGGAGCCGCTGGATTTATTGTTGTTCCTGAACGGCAAGATCTTCACAGCCGGGTCCACAAGCGGTTCAAGTGCGGCTTTGGCAGTGTTGATCTTCGAGGATTTACGCGGGCAGGACGGGGTGATTGCGGGAATGGATCCAATAAATGATGGCCATATCAGCTTGAGCAGGGCACAACAGGAAATGGTCGTAGCAATCCACAAGATGTTCCGTTCCGTCAACACTTTCGAAAACTTCCAAAAGTATTTTTTTTTTTTCGCCCTTGTTTATCATTGTTGTGGTGAATGCTCACTTCTGACGCTCGTGCCATTGATATTAGGCCATTAGTCCGGGCCACCAGATCGCGACAGCCGACGAGTAATTGGGTCCTCAAAGTGTCCCATCTGCACAAGCAGTGTAGGCTGGCCAAGCCATCCTCTTGAAACTATGCCTGCTTGGACTGTAGGAGATGGACAGATCGGGACTCAACAGACGCCCACAACCTAGTTGCCTCAAAGATTACTTGCAGCGACACTACAGTAAAAAAGTCCGGCAAAATTGTTGAAAGGAAAGAAGGGATAATGCGACGCGAAGATGCAGTGTGCATGGATCATGATTTTTATTTTCGACGTCTCGTTCTGCTTTTCCATATCCTTTTCGACACGCATCATTCTTTCATCACTTCCATCACTCAACAGAAACAGCTACCTCATTCTTCACTTTATTGCACCACCAATCTTGCTTTTTCATCCGCCATTGACCTGATGACAGCAGTGGAGTGACAGGGATCTCCTTTCTTTTCTTCCTTTCCTCGCATCATGGCGGACCCACTGGAGCGACCCATCGTCCAAACAGGCACCAGTGAAGCAAGTACATGGCAGATCCAAGGCGATGCACCGAGACAAAGCATATCTGACCCAGGACACATCCTCTCAAATGAACAGGTGCATGAGCGAGGATATGGCAGACACTATGAGCGCCACGCCGACAGCATTGCCAGTTCAGAGAGCCACAGCAGCGACGACGGCATTGAGTGGGAGAGCTCCGAGTACTATTCACCAGAACACATGTCGTCACGCCCCGCTGACTCTGAGGACAACTTGGAGGGGTACGCTACAGATTCAGACGATGATGACAATAGCAGAGGGAGTGACTACGAAGACCAGGATACACATCGACTCCTGACGAATTCGAGCAATACGCGTGTGGGCGGCATGGGTATGGGCATGCGCGTAGGCGAGACTGGAACAGGGACAACCATTGGCCTCGACTTTGAACACAATTTTCAGCACCAGAACCGCAGCGGTGAAGACAACGACTATGACGTGTTACCGTTGACAAATGTCGATCCTGGTTCACGACGCATGGGCAATAGGGGTCGGACTAAGCAGCAACGAGACAAGAGAACAGATAGAAGGAGGAACGAGCGACATAAAAAATCGCTGCAGCATGCAGTCATGCCCGTCATTGGGCTTAGCACAGTGTTGACAGAACAGGAGCGGATATTGGCGAAAAGACAGCTCAGGACCAAAATGATCTGGAATGTATTTTATGTATTTGCATGGTACGTCGCTTCTTCTGCTTGCTGATGGCTCTGGGTCCCGGCAAGCATGTACTTCTACGCATCATATGAAGCGCTTTCTGAAGACCCGTTCTCTTATTCGCTACCAGGTATGGGTGCTCGACGTCCCTGTCATTCTACAACA